TATATATATATATATATATATATATATATATATATATATATATATATTCTCTTGAGGGTCAGCTCGATCAAATCAAGATTTTAATCACTAGCGCCAAGCATTTGTCGGCTGCAACTGCCCCGAGTCATACAAGGCTTGCGCTGCAATTGACATTCACAGTACTAATTAAATATGCTTTTTGTACCGATAATGAACAATAAAAAAAATTAAGAAATGTGACAAAGCATGTGACAAACACATTTCCACGAACCAATGTTCATAGATATAAATGTATATATGTAAAATTCGGCACTTTGATCTTTTCGGTTCTTTAAATTATGTTTTCCGTTATAAGCACTGCGTCAAAATAATATTATTCGTATCATGGAAAAGATTTCGTATTACCTTCATAATATTCGTCTACCAATAAGTGCAGGTGACCTAATTTGCAATAAGTTTCAGGTTGAACAGTCGTTTCTTTGTTATCGCGATATTTTTCCTCATCACAAAAATTCGGCTTTTCCTCCTTTGTACCCAAAATACACTCGCCATAGTCATTGTGCCAACTTAAGAGCATTTCGTTTCTTTCCGGCAGCTCCTGTTTTACTTTATTTGTAGGTGAGTGCGGCGAAATGTTTTCATTAATATTATTATTATGAGCTAAAATAATGATATTTTGTAAAGCAGCTATTGCACGTTGAATAACGTCGCGAATCCAATTATTCGGACAATCTTCCAAATTTATAAAACCAAATTGACGACTGAGAAGACAATTAATGGAATTTTTCTTTTTATATGAATTACAAAAATAATTTACATACCTGTCCAAATCCGAAATTAATTGAAGTTCATCAATAGTGAAATCGTCGATATCCATTTTGCTTCAGATTTTTTAAATATAAGTTATTGCACTGATTAATATAAAAAACACGGAATCTTCATTCATACCCATACCCATACGCAATCCACAAACACTATTAATTTTAATTTATTTACTTATATTTTCTTACAATATTCAATGTGATATCACCTTGTTTTATCTAAAGCACACCATCTAAAGTTTCTATATCTGGCAATGTTACACAAGAGATTTGCGGATCAAAAAATATGCCCACTTTTCTGTGAACTTTTCAAGAAGCAAGCTGATAAGAATGTTTATATTCGGTACGTTCCTAAATCAAGCCAGTTTTGTTTTTAGATATGGGAAAGGTTTCTTCAAATTTTTGGCATCACCCTTGCCACCTTGTGCGAACTGTTCCCGATTCTAATAGTCAGACACAGAGGTGTTAAAAATGGTCATCAGTGCAATACTCTGAGAGAAAAAAAATTTATTTATATAATAATAATAAAAGTCCCCCAATTTCATATTTATTATTACTTGACAACGGTATTTGTCCAAACTAGAAAACTAGTTATGACAACGAAGCGTTAGCAAGGCAAACATAGAATTGATTGTTTCAGGACTACTTTTTGAACATATAACAGACTGAATGGCGTTACCATTTAAGTTGTTAAGTTGGGCATTTAACCATTTGTCTATTATAAGCGACTATGTGCTTAGCCTTTCAACAGGGAATTTAGCGACGGCTTTGTTTAATTTGATAATGAAAATTATAGCAGTCTAATTTTAGGCTAACTTGTAAAATTATTATTATTATAAATTTAGCCAGAAAATTTTCTCTTAAAGCGCTAGCATCAAAAAAAACTCTGCACTTGAGATAAAAAATAAATTATACTTTGAAAAACCAAACTAATTTGCGTGTTCACTCTATACATAATTCGGTAAATTCCACCCATGTATCCATATAATCGTCATAATCTAACTGAAATGTGGAAAATATAATACGAAAAGCCAGCAAAACTAGAAAGATTTGCCGACGGCTTTTGTTAAGTTGGTCCGTTAGATAATGTTAAGTTTTTGTTTTGCCGACGGCTTTTGTTAAGTTGGTCCGTTATTTTACAGAGTTGGACCCTTCTGGTCGGTTAAGTGGCGCGTTTAACATAGCTGATTGGCGTTAACATTTAAGTTGTTAAGTTGGGCTTTTAATCATTTATATATATTATAAGCGACTCTGTGCTTTGCCTTTCAACAGGGAATTTAGCGAGGGCGTTATTTAAAAATTATGACGGTTTAATTCTAAGCTAACTTGTAAAATACAACAAATTTTAAATGTTCGATATTAACCTTTGACACATTCAATTAGGTAAAAATCTTCACACTTTCAAGCATGTATGACATTGAGAATCTATGACTAAGAAAATAGGATTACGACCATTTAAAGTCTCTGAAGGGCTAGTCAGCAAACATTGTACGAATATATGTGTACTAGTTATACATTTTAACTCACCTCTCTCCATAGGTATTATGCATGCACTGGCACGACATTGAGTTAAAAGTCGAGACTCTTGTCACTCAGGCGGATAACTTGTAAAATTTAATAAGTTTAGTTTGCGTATTTTCCAAAACACTAAACACAAAACACTAAACATCTAGAAGTGATGATAGAGGAGCGAAAGCGACCAAGTCAAGGAAAAAGAATCGGAAACAATCAGGAAACCATTAAAAAGACTAACAATTTCTTTTATATATATATATATTTTTATATATATTAATGAAGCTATTTTAAGTATATAAAAAAGCTATTATATAAATAAAGCTATTTATATTTAAATATAAAAATTATGATGAAGTAAAAGAGATTTCGATATTGTTGTAATATGTGGCAGAGGCAACAAAGCAAGAATTGAAGTCTTCAATGCCCGATAATAAAGAGCAATATTTTGAAGTAGCCTTCAATAAAGTAGGCAGTTACGAAGTGTGTGTTTTTATCTCGATCAACGATGTAGTTAGTAAAATAAAGGCTGACATTGAAGTTATATCATCGATTTTTGTCAGTTATGACCACGCGCAGAGCATTAAACTTAGTATTTTAAAAAGAAATGCAATGGACGTGGAAGAAGCGAAAAACGTCCTTCTAATAATATCTTTCTTTCTTCTTTCTTTGTCTGGTTCAGGCTGTGTGTTCATATGCTCACACATAAGTAAAGGATTTACAAAATATTCTTCGCAACACATACAATGAAATGTTAGATCTGGTTGTTTGGATTGTTGAACTGCTGTTTGCTCCAAGGTATCTTCAGTGATTGGAATTATAATAATTCAAATTTTTACTAACGTTTACTGCATTTTCGCCATCCACTAAAGACATTATATCCCCTATTTGCAGATACGAGCCATACAAAAATGATTGTCAATATATCAAGACAAAAAAAATTTAATAAAATTCGAAATAGTTTTCATCCATCTTATTACACAGCCGTTGATAAAAAATTTGCCGCTAAATTGTGTAAGAGAAAACTGAAACGACTGAAGAGTTAAATATACCAACAACAAAAGCCAAAAGAGCCAAGGCGAGTGGCCAGCTGTTATATACAGAAAGAGGCAAATTGAATGTTTCACTGAAAAGTTCAATGAAATCGCTTAATCAACGGATTGTCCAATAAAGAGAGAAATGGAGAGAGCAACATTGACAATATATGTGTGAAAGGGATTGGTTCTAGCTGGTTTCCCACTCAAAAGTGTTTGAGAGAAACTGAAGATCCACAATCAAGAAGTAGCTAACTCCTTCCACTTTCCTTCTCCAAGATTTTTTTCCGCATTGTTGTAACATTGTCAACCGTCGCGAATAGCAAGAACCTTGTGGTGTTTGTAGTTCTTCCCATGTGTTAAACATGTAGAGAATGGTTTAGGAGGTTTAAAAGCGGTACTTTTGAGATTAAAGACAAAGAGCGTCCAGGCCAGCCAAAAAAAATTGAAGATGAGGCATTGAAGTATTGGATGAAGATCCACGTCAAACGCCATCCATAGCAGGAACACTGAATTTAACAGTTATTTCAAGTTTCAAGTTTTCAGAAACGATCGTTTGTATCGCAATGGTGGTGGTGTTTTAATTGCCACTTCTTCGGCACTCCCCACCTATTCGTTTGAATTTCCAGCTACTCCCGATGTTGAATTTATCGCCATTCGAGTGAAATTTCCTAGTAAACACTTATATGTGACCTGCTCCTATATTTCCCCAAATTCTGATATCTCTGTATATAAGAAACAGGCTGCCCTCATTTGTGAAGTGGCCAAGCGGTCTAGACCCACCGATTTGGTCGTTGCATTGGATGACTTCAATTTACCTCAAGTCACTTGGTGAAACAGGGATAATTCTGGCTGTTTGGTTCCTACTTCAACGTCTGATAGGGCTGTTGTGTTCTTTAGTGAATTGTTTGATCATAATTTGGATCAATATAATCGTACCCCTAATTGTAATGGTAGACTGCTTGATCTCTGCTTTGCCAATTTTCCCGAGATTAACGTAAATCGTTGTCCACCTTTTAGTTTACCTGAAGGTCTTTATCATCCATCAATGTGCATTGCCTTTTATCACAAGAATGATGATGCGTTGAACTGCCTTAATGTGCCAAATCAAACTTTTTAAATAAATATTATAATTTTCATAAAATCAATATTGTATTGCTAAAACATCGTCTTTCACAGATGAGGCTTGATTTCTCAGTCGAAAGTATTGAAAGCTTGCTGTCAATACATAACATCTAGCTATTCTGCGCCTGAATAGAAAAAACTCGCTATTCAAAAAATATTCGAAAAGTGGCTCTGCGCTCGATTATTTCGCTTACTCGGTGGCGGGGCATAGATTTAACTCCCTCAACCACCATTATTACTGCAGATACCTTTAGTTCATTAAATCCTCTCTGTTTGCCAATCCTAAATACTTTTTTAAGTTCGTTAATTCCAAAAGAAAAATCTCCATAAATCCGTCGTTTGTGTCTTTTAATGGCTCCGAGTCCTCGGATGATTTTGAAACCTCAAATCTCTTTGCGGAATACTTCCGAGAGAACTGCCAATTTTGATTTATCGGTAAACTATCCATATGCGATTTCTAATTCGATTTCAATTCCTAACTTTGTTATATCTGAAAATGACGTTTTTGAAGGATTGAGCTCTCTGAAATATAATTGTTCGCCTGGACATGATGGAATCCCCTCATGTGTACTTATATCTTGTGCTGGCGAGCTTTGTGATGTTATCTCAAAGATTTTTAATAAGTCTTTGAATTTAGGTGTTTTCCCCTTGTGTTGGAAGACTTCTTTCCTTCTTCCTATTCACAAAAGTGGTAGTAGGCAACTTGTAGAGAACTACAGAAGCATTGCCAAGTTGAGTGTCTTACCTAAACTGTTCGAGCGAATTGTGGCTCAGCATATAGCCTTTTCCATGAAATTGTATATTTCTCCTTTCCAGCATGGTTTTCGAAAGGGAAGATCTACGGTGACCAATTTGTTAGAGTTTACTTCTCATGTTTTCAAGGCTTTTTCTAGTGGTTCTCGCACTGATGTCATTTACACTGACTTTAGCAAAGCGTTTGATATGGTTAATCATAGACTACTTAGATTTAAACTCCAGACCTCTGGCTATCCTCTCTTCTTAGTGGAATAGTTAAGCTCTTATCTGCACAATAAATCCTTCAGGGTTTTGTTTAACTTCATCACCTCGGATGAATTCCCCGTTATGTCTGGCGAACCTCAAGGAAGTCACTTAGGTCCCATTTTATTTAGTTTATAAATTAACGATCTTCCATCGGTGGTTAATTCCAGCCAGATCTTAATGTACACTGATGATATGAAACTGTTTTCTTCCCTCTCTGTTGAATCGCAATCACATCAGCTTCAAGGAGGCTTGGATAATTTTGTTGCACGGTGCTCTTTGAATCTTCTCAAACTAAATCTAAATAAATGTAAGAAGCTTTCTTTCTCAAGAAGAAAGTCATTCATTACTCAGTATTTCATTGATTCGCGCAAGTTAGAGGACGTCGGTTCGTTCACAGATTTAAGCGTTTTATTTGACCATAGGTTACGTTTTAACTTGCATATTGAGCTCTCGTTAAGCA